GAAAGGAACTTCACGAAATCCACTCCCAACTAAAATACCTCTTAGATCATAAAAGTATACCCTCACCGGATTTTGTTAACAAGGTTGGAGACCTTGCCAAACGCCTTGACGGCAAATCAGAACCACCAACTCCAAATAATGGCATGAACAATGACAGTTTGAATGTGTGTCCGGAAGAATACAAAGGCAGCAAATTTGGTTACCCATTTTATTCTACAGGTTGGGTCCTTACTAACTGTATCAATGTCAAACCACTTAGCTCCGTCATAAGTGTTTTAATAAACACTGTCGCATATCCAAAAGAAGATGACAAACACATTCGTAATGTAATAAAGGGTATCAATGATACCTATCCAATAGTTCAAGTTTACGTAGCAACGCGCAGTGACGATATCATAGAAATGGCCAAAGAGTACGAAAACATTGACGTGGTTAAAGTCGATGATACAAATGCAGCAAAAGTGTGGAACATGCTTAAAGCTAAAGCCTCCACACCTTATGTGCTGGTCGCACGTGATGTGGTTCACTTCTCATGGTTCACTCAAATAGAAAGACAAATTCGTGTGGTCAGTCAGATACCAAATGTAAAAGTTGCCGGGGGAGCATTTCGGAATATTTCTGGTCACTGGAAAGCAGGATGTGTGCAAACCAAACTACTAAACTACGTGCTAGAATATCAAGAAGGCTACTTTCACTCACAAAATGCATGCATGTTTTGTGATTTTCTGCAAGGACCTTTTCTGACTAAAACAGACTTGTTTAAGCTGGACGAAAGTCTTCCAAACGAAGTAGTATTTGAAGACTGGTTCTTGCGCATTAGAAAGGATGGCCACCAAGTGATGACCTGCCCTGACGCTATGTATTTCACTTTGGATTACTTTTCGTATACCAAGAGCACTAAAAAAGATGTCTGGACACCTTTGGCAAAAAAGTGGGGGATTAATCGCGTATTTTTGCCCCAGGGGATCAAATTTTCATTCTCTTGTGACGATATTGGCGTCTCGTGCAAGGCAACTCACGAATTACTCCCAATTTGTTGCCTGGAAGAGTACGCACATCTCTTGACAGTCCTTCAGAAGTTCTGTGGTGAAAGAAATATTTCATTTGAACTCGATTCTGGTTCTATTCTTGGTGGTGTTAAGTTCGATGGTCT